ATACATAGTATGAGAAGGAATCTACAAATAAAACCTATTAGAATTAATAAATGAGTTTGGTAACATTGCAAAATACAAGTTCATTATGCAATTATTAGTTGTATTTCTATATGCAAGCAATGAGCAACCCAAAAATGAAATTAAGAAATCATGTACCAAAAGGAGTACAGTGCTTCCAACGCCCAAAGCTATTAAGCATAGCTAAGAGACGTTAAAGACAATCTCAATAAATGGAGAGATATTCCAGTGTTTTAAAACTGGATTGTGGGGGGGTGCCTGGATGGCTCAGTCAGTTAAGCATCCGACTTTTGATTTTGGCTCAGGTCTTGATCTCATGGTTCATGGGATCAAGCGCTTCATCTCTCTCTCTCTCTCAAAATAAATGAATAAATAAATGTCAAAAAAACCCAACAACCTGGATTATGGGATGCTTGCATAATTCTATAATTTAATTTAAAAAACTGTCCACTGGGGCGCCTGGGTGGCGCAGTCGGTTAAGCGTCCGACTTCAGCCAGGTCACGATCTCGCAGTCCGGGAGTTCGAGCCCCGAGTCAGGCTCTGGGCTGATGGCTCAGAGCCCGGAGCCTGTTTCCGATTCTGTGTCTCCCTCTCTCTCTGCCCCTCCCCCGTTCATGCTCTGTCTCTCTCTGTCCCAAAAATAAATAAATGTTGAAAAAAAAAATTAAAAAAAAATAAATAAAATAAAAAATAAAAAACTGTCCACTTACAGTGGACACTTACATTGGTGGATTTTACAGAATGTAAATCATACTTCAACAAAGCTGTTTAAAAAAAACAATTTCAGGGCACCCAGGTGGCTCAGTCAGTTAAGCATCCAACTTCAGCTTGGGTCATGATCTCACGTCTTGTGAGTTGAATCCCCACATCAGGCTCTGTGCTGACAGCTCAGAGCCTGGAGCCTGCTTCGGATTCTGTGTCTCCCTTGCTCTCTGCCCCTCTCTTGCTCACTCTCTGTCTCTCTTGCTCTCTCAAAAAGAAACAAAACATTAAAAAATTAAAAAAAAAAAAAGATTTGGGTTTTTAAAATGACCTTTCTGGCTACAGGTGCTAGGATGCATTTTTGTCAGAAAGCCACATTTTTCTGCTTGTAGTTTTGAAATAAAAACCAAGGGTTTACCAAAACCGAGATCTTTTTAGATGTCTTATTCCAGCCTCTAACTCTTAAACTGCTACGTATTCATCATCATAGATTTCAACCTTCTAAACCTCCACACCTATTTGTGTCCACAGTTTAAGAAAAACCTGAAATATGTTTTCTGTCAGTATTTGTTAAAACTCTTAATGTATCATGTTGTTTACCCTCAGATGGAGAAAGTAGGGTGTTAGGGGTGAAAATGAAGTCAAGACTGCGTATGCGTTATGCTTACTTCAGTAATTGGCACGGTATTGGAGCAGTTGCATTGAAGTCCTTCTCTGTTAGATGGAGGTTGGCAATTAGAGGGTTTCCCACAGCAAGTGACCCATTTAACATCGCTAGTCCTCTCTGTGTGAAAAATTCACACATTACATAATCCCACTGTTAAATACCTTTCTCTTAGGTAGGAAAGCTCCCTGTGAAGCGGCATCTGTCATCTTAATTTCGTGATATTTAAGAAATGTGAATTCACTTTTTTAAAAATTAATTTATTTATTTTGCGAGCGAAAGTGCAGTGTGTGGGTGCACAAGTGAGGGAGGGGCAGAGAGAAGGAGAGACAGAATCCCAAGCGGGCTCTGAGCCAACAGCCAGCGTAGAACTGGATGTGGGGCTTGAACTCGTGAACCCTGAGGTCATGACCTGAGATCAAGAGTCGTTCACTTTAATAGGCTGAGCCACCCAAGCGCCCCAGTTAATCTTCTTCTTAATTTTGGTTCCTTTGGGGAATGAAGTTTAATTGATATCAGTGTTTATCATATTAATCTTCATTTGTTCTTAGAAAAGCAATGATAAACCACACTTTGGTACCTGTTGACTGTCTGTCCCTGTGTCTTTGAGGTTCATACTTAGAATCTCAGGAGAGATTTTTGTGGTCTTTATTTTGTATGCCTGTCATCTTTGAAAGGTCTTCGCTCCACACCCAACGTGGGGCTCAAACTCACGACACTGAGATTAAGAGTCACATGCTCTACCAACCGAGCTAGCCAGGCGTCCCACTTTGAAAGGTTTTGAATGCTCCATAGTGCCTCACACACTGCCAACCATAAAGAGTGGTAAATACCACCAGGCGTCTGCGTAAACTCCAGGATCTAACCCAGGTTGTAATTTCTGAACACTGATCTGGACTCTCACGGGCACTTCTTCTCCTTGTCGCTGAGCAACTGATTCTAAGACCCTTGCCTCCACCACTATCTTGGTCTTGGGTAGGAATCCAGGCAACTGAGAACGATATTTTGCCTGGGGTGTTTCTGCGGTCAGGTGGACAGACCTTTGCTAACAGCAACTTTTTTTTTTCAGGGAAAAGTGCTGGTGCTGCCAGATGGCAAAGGGATCCTTAGATCAGAGATCTTAGCGTTAAGATCAGGGAGGGTTAGAGACAGTTTAGTTCCAAACTGGTCATTTTACAGAAGGGAAAGCTGAAACTCAGAAAATTGAATGGACTTACCCAAGGGATAACAGAAACTAACAATTTCCTCTCCAATATCTGTTTCTTCTTCTTCCTTACTAGCAAGTCCTTGATTTTGTTTACAGTGGCAATGCTCCCAGAGTAAAATAATCACCTTCCCAGCCTTCCTCGAAGCTAGGGGTGGACGTATGACCCAGTTCTCACAAGGGATATGTAAGTGGAAGTCATTGGATGGGGTTTGGGGGAAAGCTTTTTAAGAGGAAACATTTGGCTTGTATGCCCCTTTGTCTCAACTTTCCTCCCTCTTGCTTTTCATGCAGACGGAAGACTAGTTCAGTTCTAACACTGTGGTTTTTATTATGTGCCAGATTCCATTCTGGGGCATGAAAAACTCACTTTTAGAGCAGTGCCTCTTTCTGGTAATCTGTTGGCTATTGCTAATGTTAGGGAAGAATCTGTTCATAAATGCTATGGATGTATTAGAATTCTGCTAGTATTTTGGGGCACCTGGGTGGCTCAGTCCATTAAGCATCCAACTTTGGCTCAGGTCATGATCTCACGGTTCATGGGTTCGAGACCTGCATTAGGCTCTGTGCTGACAGCTCAGAGCCTGGAGCCTGCTTTGGATCCTGTGTCTCCCTCTGTCTCTGCCTTTCCCCGTTTGTGCTCTCTCTCTCTCTCTCTCAAAAATAAAAATAAACATTAAAAAAATTTTTTTAAAGAATCCTGCTAGTTTTATTATAGAAGCAAAGAGAACACAGGAGGTTTTCCAGAACTTGAGGACAAGAAGCTTCCAAGCAAGAAGTATTATGATTGTGTCTGACCTCCTACTCAGCCCCAAACACCTAGTGCCTTATCTTTTGCTGCTTTGCTCCAATCAAGTATCAGCATCAGCTCATAGAGGAATGTAACACATTGAAGAAGTAGGAAAGTTATGATTAGAACAGTTAAGGAGCAACATTATTGAAGCTTTAAGGAGAGGTGTGTAGGGACCGGGGTGGGGGTGGGTGGAGGAAGAAACAGAGCTCTCTGGGCCAGAGGAGAGAAGTCAGAACATGACCAACAACAGAAGAACCCAAGAGGAAACCGCCCCCCCCTCCCGTGTATTATGGAGCCTCGAAAGCTGCCCTGTGCCTGCAAAATGGGTCCTTTCCATACACCACCCTGCCCACTGGTGCTGAGCCCAAGCTCAGCACGATGCCAACCTGCTTAAGGAAAGTGGCTTCACTCCTGTAGTAAATCTTGTATTTGTGTCTAATCCAATTATCACTGGCTGATTTTGTTTTTGGGGGAAAACTCAAGCCCTTATCGCTTTCCTCCTTTCCGAGGAAGATAAGAGACAGCCCACAGGGGAGTAATAGACCAGGGCAGACTTGTTAAGCCAAGTATTCTTTTCAAGGGAAGCAAAGATTGTCAGGTATGAATGAAGCAGGGAGGAGACCGGGAGGCCATTTCAGCCCCCGCTTCCTGGGGGAGCTGCTATTTTAAAAAGAAGTATAAAATGTGAGAAACATGCGCTGAATGCTTAACTCGGGTAATGAAACGAATTGTTGGAAAAGTGAGTGAGTCGTAACTAAGGGTGTTCATGCAGTGCTGGCAGAAATGATGCTTTTTTTTTTTTTTTATGGGAAAGTCGAGTATCAGGAGGATATAGAGATACAATCGCCCTTGCACACTTAGAGTGTTTAAAATACAATCCTTGTATTTGTTCTCATCTCGGGAGCGCTGGGCTTGGTCTTTGTTACCTATTGGGTTTCAGGAAGGCTGACTTGAGATGCGGCGTTGCCATTTTCTGGGCTCTCACTAATTTTTTTTTTTTTTTTTCCGGCGCTGGCAGCCTGATCCTTTGTTGTTGCCTCCTCTGCATTCATCCTCTCTGCCCTCGCACCTCCAGACAGTGTGATGGGTTTTTTTTTCCCCCCCCAGTCCTCGCGCCGGGAGCTCCGGAAGGCCACCTTCCCCGGCATCCGAGGAGGCACCGCTCTCACCATCCCGGGGGCGGAGGGGGGAGGGTGTCGTTGGGCTGGGACCGCGCCACGCCGGGAGCGGACCCGCTTTTGTGTCGCTGTTTGTCTCCGCAGCCGCTCGACCCCGGGCTGGAGGCGCGCGGGCCGCGACCCCCGAGGAGGCGGGGCCTCGGCGCGGGGCTCCGCCTGGTGTGCATTTCACTGCCGCCGCCGCCGCCCTGGTTTGTTCAGATACTCCGCCCTGCCCCTGCCGCTGCACCCAGAGCCCAGGACGCGGCCGCCCGGATCCCTCTCGGGCCTCGAGCCCGCCCAACCCCGCTTTGGGCTTTTCCCCGAGCTTGCTGGCTTTGCCTCGTTAACCGCATCCTGGAGCGGCGCTTGGCAAAACTCAGACTAAAAAGAGAGGGTGGGGGGAGAACAAATTCGATGCACCCGTCCGGGTCCTCCAGAGTTTGTGAAGGCTCGTAACCATGACCGAGTCGGGGGAGATAAGTGAGTTTGGCTACATCATGGAATTGCTAGCCAGAGGCAAGGTAAGTGCTGGGGCGCGCGGTGTCGCGGCCTGGGCCCCCACCCCGGCCACTACCTGGCCTGTCACTGTGGGCGTCCCGGTCCCTTCCAGCGCCCGCGGAGGGCGGGGGCCGGAACCCCGGGTCCGCGCTCCCAGCCAGGGCGTCCCAGCAGCTGCAGAATGCAAAGTAGCCGCCTTTTCTTTATCGCGCCGCATCTCTGAAATGAGCCAAGGGGACTTGGCCAGCTGGGCGACGGCGGGGGCTCCTGGGACGGCGAGGGGCGCGAGCTCAGCTCCGGGAGATGGAAAGGAGGGCGGGGCGTTGGCCTTCGGGGGCGCTCCTCGACGCCCCCAGGACTGCCCAGTCGTGGTGACTTCGAGTAGGTGACCTCGAGTGTCCAGGCGCGCAGCGCGGAGCGGAGCGGAGGGTCGGACCAGCGGGTGAACAGTCGGGAGGCGGGATCGGGTTCAGCGCGCAGTGCGACCGTGAGGCGGGTAAAAGGCAGAACCCCAGTTCGCAGGCCCTTGGCGTTGTCAGCCCTCTTTCCAGGTCCGTAGCCGCTGTCCGAGGCCGAGAACATTTCAAGCAGTCTACTTTTGCAGGGGAGGCTGAGGGGGATGCCAAGGAGCCGGATTTCAGGCAGGCACCTGTCCGGGAGCCCGTTCGAAACCCGGGCTGGCGCCGTCGGTGTTGCCTCGCGACCACGCCCTCGGCCGGCCCCGGTGGCGCCGAGCCTAGGCAGAAAGCTTGGCGGCAGGCTGGCCTCCGCGCTGCAGCCGAGAAACTGCCCAGGGAGGCACCTGAGAGCTTTGTCGGCCGGCGGTGTCGGGAAATGCAAAGCTGAGCCAGGCGCGCTCAGCCGGGAGTCGCAGCAGGAGAGAGAGAGAGCGAGAAACGGCGCCTGCCTTTGCCCTCTGCACCTGGAGTTTCGATAGGTGCTGGCATGAGGGAGAAAAGGACTTCCTGCGCGCAGTCTTCAGAAAGGAGGATGATCCCGCAGCCCTGCTGTGAGCATCTGAAACTTCGGGCTCACACCTCACCAGCCCCAACTGCGCCAGGTTTTAGCTTTCAGGGCAGGCAGTCCCCAGGCTCCCCGCCGGCGCGGGTCCCCGCACTCCCAGATGACAGCGTCCCCGGGGAACCGCGCGCCTCCCGGGATTCTCTCTCCCGTTTTGCAAACACGGAATACACTCATCTGAAATAGAATGCTGGTTAACATCTCCAAGATAGAAGCTGTGCTTCGGGCCGCCCCCCGCCCCCCACCGTTGACACCCGGGGCCCAGAAGTACACGTGGAGGACCCGCTTTCCACTTTTCTTTCTACCCTGGGCTCTAGCCTGCACCTGGAAGGGGCCTCCGGCGCGTGCGTGGGAACACCCGGGCCACCACATCCAAGCTTCTGTCGCCCAAGAAGCTTCAACCTTGGCCACCCGCTGGGCCTAGGGTGCGTACCACAGCCCGCTCCACCCTTTGGAGGGCCCACCCTGGGAGGAAAGGAGAGGGCCAGAAAGAAGGAAGCGCCGCTTGGAAGGAGGAGACGTGCAGCCAGGGGGTCAGAACCCGGCTTTCTTTTAAATTTTTTTTTTTTCAACGTTTATTTATTTTTGG